GTAATCATCCCATCTCGGCCTCCCAAAGTGCTGGCATGACAGGCTCGAGCCACTGTGCCCCGCCAGGGATTAGTGCCCTTCTGCAGAGGACTGAGGGAGCCTGCTCACGTCTTCCACCTTGTGAGGACACAGCAAGAAGGTGCCATTTGTGAGAAACAGGCTCTGAACAAACACTGAATCTGTCAGTGCCTTGATTTTGGACTTCTCAGCCTCAAGGACTGTGAGAAATAAATTTCCGCTGTTCAGAAGCTATCCCGTTCATGGTATTTTGTTGTATCAGCCCGAATGGACTCAGACACGGGTACATTGTGAGCCCTGTGTTCAGGGGCTTCCAGTCCTGGCGGGAATGCCACTGGCCACGTGACGGGTGTGCAGGGAGTCCAGGGAGGCAGACCGGGGGAGTCCTTGGGCTGTTCCGCCACCAGCCGGGGGAGCCGAAGCTGGCAGACAGGCGGGGGAGGGGCGGAGGGCCGAGGCTGGCGGGCGGTTGTGCAGTCCACAGCAGCAAGGCCTCCTGCCAGCAGCCCCAGGGGAGTTGGAGCAGGTGGCGGATCCTGGGGACGGGGAGGGTGCTGCAGAGAGACGGCAAGGGCCTAGCTGTGGGCCGTAGGAGTCAGGCCAAGCCTCCCCTCTGCAGAGCTAAAGTCCTGAGGGCAGGGGCTCAGGTCAGCCTGTGAGGGTCACAAGAAGCAAGGCCAGTGCCCACTGGGACCGAAGTCCACGGCAGAGCAGAAGCAGAACCTGGCTCAGTGGGTGGCTGCCGCCCAGAGCTCCACACTCCTCTGCTCAGGTCATGGCTGTCCCCAGCTGCAAAGGAAGCTGGACCTGGCCGGTGAGGGTGAGGTCAGTGGCCACAGGGACAGGGTACATCCCAGGTCACTGCAGCCCCCTGAGATAAGAGCGACATGGGCGTAAGGCACATGGGAACTCCAGAAACACAGGCAGGGAGGGGCGTCAGGCCCGACCTCCCGGCACAGAGAGCTCGGGGTGGGGGAAAGGCGGGGAGAGGTGACGGAAAGGCACGCAAGGGTTCCCTGAACCCCAGCAGCCCAACACAGAGCTTGAACACGGCAGCTTATGGAACCGGATGGCCTGGGTTCAAATCCTGCCTCTGTGTCTTGCCGGCTGTGTCACTTTAGGCAGGTTACTTAACCTGTCTGGCCTCTGACATCCGGCCACTAGGGATAGTAATAGTACCTACCTCATGGGTTGTTGTAAGGATGGAGTTGAAATACAGAAGGCACCGAGAACAGTGCCTGCCCACAGTGCCAGGTCAGTATCTGCTGGTGTTACGTGGAGTAAACAGTTCGAACATTCACCAATGTTCACCAAACTGTATTCCATGAAACCTTCCACTAGAGAAACTGCCATCAGAAAAGTTCCCATGGTCGAGTAAACTTGGAAAAAGCCTCCTATCGTACCCACACCGAGCTCTGGCAAGCCCACAGTTAAAAAGGCAAAACAGAACTAAAGCCCCAAACAACCCCGTCCAATTTTATTTCACCCAGCCTTTTCCAAACCTGTGACTCGTGGAACCCTCTGACCGCCTCGCGGGACGGTGTTGCGCAGGACGGCAGTTTGCGCAGCGCTGTGGGGGAGGCAGAGACAGGCGTCCCCCGGAGACATCATCTGGCGGGGAAGCCATGGAGAGACCCTAGTGCCCAGGAAGGGAGGAGGGGAGCAGGCTTTGGCGTGTGGCCCACAGCAGAAGGGCCAGGTGCATGTGAGGGTCCCCAAGGAGAGGGGGACACAGAGGACCAGGCTGCCGTCTGCATGTGGAGGGGAAACACGAGGAGGCAGAGGTGAGCCTGAGAACTCACGTTTGGGGCGGTGGGAAGTGGGGGCGCAGAGAGAGGGGCTGTGGGGGGAGGTGTCCTCCCTTTACTGAAGTCCCCGCTGATGCCATCACCCCGCCCTGGGGCGGAGAGCCTCGTAGGTGCTCCCGGTGCGGGTGGAGAAAGGTTTCTCACACCGGCATTTGGATGTATAAAAGTAAAAAGTTTATTTCATCTTGGAGGGGAGAGAGTGAGAGAGAGAAAGAGAGAGGGAAGGCGGGGAGAACAGGGAGACGGTGTTTCGTCCCAAAGAAAGAGAAGGGGCATCGCAGCGAGGCCAAGTGGCCTGCCGATTTTACGGGGAGAAGATAAAGAAAAAAACGAGTGACTGCCGTCAGTTAGAACAGAAGCGGCTGTGGAGTAATTAGCAGGAGGCTGCAAGGTCACTTGTCCGTCTTTCCTGCTCTTTCTGCTCCTGGAGACGCGGTTTTCTCTGAGACGTAGTCAGCCTCATCCCAGCGGATGTGACTTTGCCCGAGATACGGTTTGGGGCAGGAAACTGAGGCCTGGAGCTTGCCCCCTGCTGTCGCTGCAGGGGCTTCCCAGGAACACCTGGAGGCTGTCACACAAATTCTAAAAGCAGATTCAGGCGACACAAAGAGAAAGCTCTGCGCTCCCTTTTTGTCCGCTGGGCTCCTTCAGGTGTCTGTGAGCACAGCGGCCCTGCAGGGCGCCCGCCAGCCAGGCAGAGACAGCAGGGAGACAGCTCGTGACCGATCTGCATGCTGTTAGGAAGTGGCGGGATCGGGACTTTCCTGTCACTTCAGCGAGGGGGCTGCTTTCAGTCCCAACTGTGGGAATGAGGGTCTAGGCCCTGCGGCTTCCCTGAGGAGGGGCCTGGAGAGGGGAAGATGGGGACAGGTGCCTCCTGGGGAAGAACCGCCCTCAGAAGGCACGAGGACGTCCGTCCCCGCTATGCACAGACCTCGTGGCTATAAAACTGACAACAGTTGCTCAGGGCCACTGGGCCGAACTCCAGGCCGACGCTGAAAGGAAAGCAGGGGTCTCCGTGTGAGCCACAGGCCGGCTCTGCTGGCCACTACCCAGGGCCACTACCCCTGTGCAGCCCTGGGAAAGTTACTTCCCGTCTCTGGTCCACCCTTCCTCTTCACATTTGATCCTCAGGCCCCCACTTCCTCCTCCCCTGGCCACGTCAGCTGCAGCCATGACATTTCTACCCCTTGCCCGGGTGCCAGAGGCGTCCCCAGCCACGCGGGCTTTCCGCACGCCATCACCGCTGGTGTCCCCGTGTCCCCACGCGCCCGTGCCTGGCCCTCACCTCTGGAAGGCCTCGCGGCAGCACTGGTACACCTCAAAGCTACTGCTGCTGAGGGTCGTGTTTAGCAGGGACATGCAGTTGACCTCGGACCCCCTGGGCACATAGAGGATCCCTGCGAGGGAGAGCAGCTGGTGAGCAGAGCCCCAGCTGGAA